GGAATATTATAATATATGATTTTGTATGGTCTGAAATAAATTGATGGATGTTCTTATTGGTACATATTATATTATGTTTGATTTCATTCAAAACTTATTTCGATTTATCTTCAGAAAATCCGCTCGTTAGTGTAAGAGTTAAATCATACATTTTTATAAAAACCTAAATTCACTTTTGGTATTTGATGTGACTTGACGACTGATGAAAATGCTTTACGGTCTTATTTCAAAATGTGCGTAGGTGTATAATAGGTACTATATTTCTACATCAGCACACAACACATATTGTTTTTCTGAAATTTGACTATAAATTAATATATATTACAACTAAGAAACGACATAGTATTATAACATTATGTTTATATTATTTAAACCAATTGTTTAAATTCAACGAAAACAAACATTTTAGGGTGATTGAATGATCATTTTGTATTTTTCATTTAGAAATATTATTTTATAAGAAGTATAAAAGTTATAGGGAGGATGGTAAATATTTAATATGTATTAAAATATTTTTATACCGATTTTAAGAAATAGATATCTATGGATAGTATTTTGTTTAAAAACACATGTTTATGCATTTACTACAAAATGTACAAGTTAAAAATATTGAATTGTTTTTTTTCCATCTATCTAGTTTTCAAAAAAATAACTGAACCGTCATAGGTCATACGTCGTAACTCGTGGCAAGTTTGCTTTAAAATATTCAATATTTTTACACTATGAGTGGCTATAATATAGAATCTTATTTATAGTACTCCAATAAAAAGTATTGTCTGTTATAATATTTATATCCTTTAAGCTACCTATGTCATTAAAATTATGGCTTTATAGTTTTATGTCCTTTACACAACAAAATATTTGATGATGTTTACAATGTTTACAAAGTTTACTCGATTATCAAATAATTGATACAATACATAATTTTAAGCTTTTGTATAATATTCATTATTAAATTCTGTACAAATAATCCAAATATACCTTATACGTCATAGGTATTTGGGTATAAAATAAATATTTAGGCATCTATTATATTCTATGGTGTAAGACGTAAGTAGCTAGGTACATATAGGTACCGTGTTGTCCGTATTTGCATACAAAATTCTTTAAAATTTTATTTTAGTCAAATTTAACTATTTTTATAGCTAGGGGTAGTATAATATTATTATGCACCTCTATCTAGACGTACATAACATTGTAAATTATAAAAACCTTTTGTGATCAATGGATATTAGGTACATAAAACGTTCTTCAAATGGTCGTTGTTTTCTCATGTGTGCGTGTGTGGTTGTTTTTTTTTTTTTTGATACCGATACGATAATATATTTAATTTTGTAAATCAACATACAAAACGTGTTTCAAATATTTCCCTACCAAAATATATATTCCGAAAATGTTTTATACACCAAACACACGCGCGTATGTATTATATAAAAGGTTAACGGGGTTATTGAATTTGTACAAAAACAAGGAATTACGTGACGAGCTCAATGATATTCGGTAGGGCAAAAAACCCTCGATTACTCATTATTTATTCAGACCTTACTCACAAAAACGTACAGGGTGTTACTGACGCGAAGAATGGACGAGATATATAGGTGGGGGGATCATTGAATAGGGGCACGGAAAATGAATGTTACCCGGACAAAACGGATGCACTTTATTTTAGAGTTTGGACAGTTATTGTGCCGAAGCCGCATTATAAGATAGGGTTATGGCGATAGGGTGGAAGATGATCAAAATTTCCCCAGGCGGTAAATTATATCCGAGATAGCAATATTGTTGACCATGATGTATACAATTTTAGACATAAGACCCATAAATTTGAACTTTATAAATATATATTATTATTAGCCCGGATAAGTAGAAATATTTTATAGTATATTATTATGTTGCTTATAGAACATTATATTTTCAAAATGCATTATTTTAACATCATATTATATAACTCACAGAAGAACTCATTTTTATATTTCAATTAATTTAAAAATAATTTACCACTCTGAATGATTTATGTTAGATAGAATAATAATTATAAAAAATGAATGAATATTAATTTTTTTTCAGAATTATATTTTAACTCGATCATGAAACTAAACTATATAGGCAAGTACAGTAGGTACATATTTAAATTAAACAAATAAACAAATAAAAAGTTTATAATTCGATTAATTAAAACTTTTAACATGTTGTGCTCCGAATATAATATTTTACGGTGACTGGTATTAAAAATTATTTTCAGTAGGTACCTAATTAATTTTCTTTGAAATAAATTGATCTCATTATCATACGCAGGAGTTTATCACAAATTTTCCGAATAGATTTAAAGATCTTATCAAAGTAAAAGTACAAAATCTGTGAACAAATTTAAAATAAAATAATTTTATTTATTCGTGAATGTAATATCTATATTTATATATATATATATATAGGCGAATATAATATAATATAAAAAAGTTGGAGTACTCAATACATTCGTTCTAAATTAGGTCAGGTCAGGTTAGATTAGGACATTTTTCTCACTGTCTGTTCCAAATATTTAAAATCTCCCTTCAAATTTTCGAAAAAAAAAATCCCCATTTTTTATTTTTTTCAATATTAAGAACATTATAATTAATAATAACAGCTTGTTATTAATCAAATGTATTATAAGCGCTTTACACAGAACAGCATTGGTGAAAAAAACGATTTCATTAAAATCTGACGATCACAATTAATTAGTATTATTTCATTACCATATTATAAATAAATTGAATAATAAGTATGTCGTATTATTATAAGTTACAACTATTTTTAAACAGTACAAAATATGATCTGACTTATCATCCAATTGATTGAACACTATAATATTATTGATGACCTTTCTATAAAACTTGTGAAATTGTCAAATATTTTTTTTTTTATACACCTGACAATCTTTGCCTGGCCATTGAATACTAGTATACCATAATGTTCGTAAACATTTTACAATAATATAAGTACTAATCTTATCTTATTGTACCCCCTTGCGGACGACTCTGTTCTATATAAATTATATTATTTCGGTAAATTGTGTTTTTTTTTTTTAAATTAAAATCGATAAACAGGAATAAAATCAGCTGACAATTTATACATCATCATAATATTGATATCTCGAATATTCTACCTACACCGTAAACTTATCAACAATTTTAATAATATATTTGATACGTTTTTCCTTTCATCGCTCGACAGCGCTATAAAAGTCACCAAATCTCTTATAAATGCTAATATTATTATGAAGGCTTTCGACATGCTATTTTTCAAACCCGTACTGCCAGTAGAGAATAAAACGACAATGAATCTATCATACGGCGTGAAGGGTGTATTTTATTTTTTTTTTATTAATATATATTACCTAGGTACCGAAATACACGATGACATTTTCGTTACACTGGAGGTCGAAAGATTGTTTTCCGACGAATTTTGCATACCGGATGTCCAAACACGCACCCGAGGGCTAAACGGAATTCGGAAGTGAAGGCTTCGCATCCGGCTGTCGTGAAATTTAAAATTCAAAAACACTACCTCACGACCTTTCGAAAACTTTTTTTGTGTTTAGATGACAAAGTACTATTAATGAATTTTGCATTAGCCACCAAAAGTTTTGAGCGTGTGTGGTATGAAATACAATATAAACTATTTGCACCATTGTCGCCAGAAATCTTCCCACTGTTGACATTTTTTAAATGGATCAGTAAATTATGTTACCAGTGACATACAAGAATGATATATTAAACTTTCTATATACTAATTCTGTTAATATACCAGTGTTCAGTGTTTTCGTTGTTTTATTATAATTACGTTTGCTTATAAGTGGTTATAACTTATAAGTTACGTGTTTATGTATAAAAATGATTTGGTAATTCGTTTTGAATAAAACAGTTCACCCCTAAAATTATTTTATATTTTTTTATAAAATATTATAATATGGAAATTAATTATTCGTATAAAAATTAAAATAAATTTTAAATGGGAAAGTTAACTTTGACGTATGATAGGTGTGACGAGTCTGAATGATGTCGAACGAAATGATTTAGGTGAAAGTTATACCCGAAGGGTAAATGGGATAAGTCTACTACTCACGAAGTTCCTGGATATTTTCAGTTCTCAGAAGTCATGTGTGGGAAGTAATTGTGGGCGAAACGCTTCTATACCCTAAGGCGAATTTTGGCAGTGATAAAGCCCATTTGGCTTGGCAGGCGTTTCATATGATTTTGCGGAAAATTGGAACGAGTTCTGTAAAAGGTATATTATAAAAGCGGATAACTACACAGAATATTTTGAAAAAAAATGAACCAGGCGATCGCATGGGTCTCGTTACCCTCGAAAAATCAAAATGACAGATCACACATAAAATGCGATATTTAATTTTTATAAAACAATAATTTTTGTATTTCCTTGAAGTGCATGACAAATGTCAGACTGTAGATAATAATATATAAATCAGTTAACTTTGCGTGTATCAGATTGGTAAGACAGAGAACAGACATACAATACGAGTTTATGACATGATGGTTGTCAATCACATTAATAATAAGTACATAGAAATTAAAGACCCTTTACTTAGAGTAAAGACAGTATATACTATATACCTATACCTTTTCCTTTTATAACATACTAAAAGGTAAGATTTTATGATTCTGCGGATATCGTATAACTCAAATAGTAATTCAACGTCCATTGAATAAAATGTACTAAACATAAAATATTGATTTGGTACACTAAAAATATTTATATTTTCAACAAACGTCAACTGCTAGGCTTCTTTCCTATTTCTCTTAACACATTAAGATACTACAGTGAACACTGGTCTTTATAACGTGTTAATGAATGTACCAAATAATGTATTTTATTCAATTTTTTGTAACGATTCTGTTCTTTAATACTAAGTTTTTTTTTATTTTAGATCAAAACCCAAGAAAAACTCCAGAAAGCAAACAATAATGTCTTCAATTTCACAATTCAGAAGGAACAAGCTCATGTACGTCTTCAATGTCTTCTTCGGTAAATATGTTTATTGTTTTTTTATTATTATTAATAATAACTCTGACCATAAGTTTTTCATAATCTAGTGCTTAGCATTGAGTAAAATAGTTTATTTTCCAAACCATACATTATGCAGTGCTCACTAGAAAAATAAAACATATTATTATAATTATAATTTATTTTCCAGTGAGCCATGTGCAATATTTCAATCTTGAATTGAAAACAATAAACCATTATTGCCATCTTCCAATAAATGTATATAAAATATTATATACAAAAAATGTATTTTATTTTCTGTTGGTATTGTTTAATAATTGATGTTGAAAAGATCAGACTTAAAAAAAGAATATAATGTTTTCATTAAACTAGAAATATCCAATCAAAAACCATTCTGATAAAATCTTAATCATAAAACGAATAGTATCTCTATACACAGAATCTATATTTGAGATGTATTCATATTATATTAGGAGATACGCCCAAATGTTTTTGACGAAAATACATAAACGAATTATTCCGAAAATATCTAATAAACCATAATATTGTTAATAGAATATTATGATAATTTTACATTCGTAAATCTTAGTTTGTTGAAGTATACCTTGGTATACCCAATACCTCTACTATTTTCAATTGCATTATGGAGAATATGAATTTTATTCGTCTTGGTAGTCATTTATTACTCCGAGTTTTGACGCCATATATTCTGGAACTACTCAACTGCCTATATTAATGTTTAATTACGAATTGTATCAGTCTTAATTAAATATTATTTAATGTTGATGATGAATATTCTAACTTAAGAATTCTAGTGTCTCTTTCAAAAACTTTTCTCGGAATTTGTAATTGCATATTCTTGAGACATAACGAGATAAAGTGGGGTACCTGGTACCTACCTATACTATCGTAATATGAATTTTTAATATCATGAGCTAATTTTGAAGTTATCATTACTTATAACTTTTTTTCAGAGTTATATAATTATATCTAAATTCTGTTGAATCTCAACAAGACGAACATTTTCATTTCTTTGTAATGCATATTATAAACAAATCTAAGTCTTGCTCAACACCTAAGCATATGTTAATAATATTGTTCTGCTTACCATCGGATTCGGATATTTTCAATAAATTATCTATAATATAAATACCATGGTAGGTAATAATAGTATGGTTAGCGTCCTTCCTAGCCATTATTCACCAAAGAATATATGCTTTACAGGCCTGTACTACATAATAATATGAATAACATAGTTCATAATTTATGTGATATTGTGATGTCTATTAACTATTGTCTAATGTCTATTGTTCTACTCTATCTATAGTGACTTAGGATGTCTAAACCTTACGAAAGTTCAGAGCTTCAACAGAACATATAACTTCTGAATTAGATTTTTATAACCGCTTTTAACCAATCATAGGCAGAAAAATCCGATATGGGCATTTTGAACTCGTATAATATAGATAGCTAAAATAGAATAGATATAATCGTATAGACCAGTCTAAATTATAATTACTAAATTACACGTTTTACTCGATCATTAATTTATGAATATATAGTTCTACATTATTTTATTCTCTTAAGTCTTAACATATTAATTTTAACTATGTTCACTTTCTAATATAAAATAATATGTCGGTTTTCATTGATACATCAAATTATTCTCCGATGAAAAATTGATAATATAATAGGTATTATAGTACAGTCAAAAGATATTTTTTCAACTTTAAAATTCTCACTGGTTTAATAATCTAATTTTTGATAAAATATATGGACTTATAGTGCTCAGAAAATATGTTTGTATTTAAATAAAAGGTAACATTAATTTCTAGTTATACGGATTACATATAAAAAAAAATTAAACCTTTTTTCACCTTAATAATACAAAATGGGCAATAAGATGTATACAGTATTGAATTTAATTAGACTTTTGGCGGAAGCGAAATATTTTATAATATAGTTATAACTTACAACATTATATTTTGTGTGGATAAACTAAAGAAATTGGAACCTAATTTATGTAATATCTGGTTTATTACAAAGGGAATTTATAAAAATGTACCGTAAAATGATTACAATGATATTTTGTTTGAATAAAAACAGGCAATGATTATGCAAAGTTGTGAGAACCCATTTTTACGGTACAAAGTGAACAAATTTACTATCCAATAAAATATTTGCAGGTATTATACAACTGTTTTATACTTTTATGTATTTACAACTTGTATGTATACCTATGTATTTATAATATAATTTATTAACTAACTTCATGAAACTCGATTTAGATATAAATTAAGTAGATAGGTACCTACTTGTAGAAATTCATATTATAAATTCGTAATTATCGATACAATGAAGTACCGATCACTATGTTTTTATGAAGAGATTTTCACTCGAAAGCACTCTAATAAGCAGACTTAGTGTATGGGTAACTAAAATATTTAATTTATTCAAAACATTATAAGGGACGACCACTCTAATACTGCAGTACCTAATACATTGTATCTTAATAACACTTATATATATATATATATATGTGCAACTAGTAACTACTATACGTGTCTGCTTTCAAAATTAAATTACATTAGGTTCTGTAGAATTCTAGATTTAAAATTAAAATATATAATATTGTGTGTATGTGGGACAAGTTAATTACTAGTTTAGGGTACCCTATAGGGATAAAAAAAAATGTATATATATATTAAGTTGAAAATGATGTCAGTCACATACACGATTTGAATTTTTATATTTTATCATATATATATATATATATATATGTGTGTTTTTAATTTGTGTAAGTACAACTACCTGGACCTACCAAAGTATAACCCAACTTCGCCCGGAAAAAAATGGACAAACATAAAATACAGCTGCACTATATCGGTGTATTTCGGTTTTAGTGTACCTAAGCTCACGGGCAAATCGGCATCGGGGTACCTCGCTTTGTGAACTAATTCGACCGAGATGGGCAATTCGCCTGTGGCGGATTGGATATAGCATTTGGTATATTATCGAACGTGGTTCAAACTACTCTTTAAACTTTCTTGGTGCCCCTAAAAACAATTTATGAAATGTTCGCTTGAAAGTAGTAGAGAAGTTTTTGAATCTGTATAAGCTACAAACTACGAACGTCGCCTTTGGTCGTATACATTTGAATAACACACAATTATTAATTTATTATTATTTTTCTTTCATTAAAAAATAAAAAAAACAAATAGCATAATTGAGTGCATTGCAGGTCGACTAGCCTATAGCAATTTTTTTTCAAATTTTTTTTTTTTTCACCAACGCCTGAATAAACAAAAAATTATTCGATTTTTATGAGCCAAGACGACATTCATAACCTGTGAGTCGTGAGCCATGTCAAAATAATATATGGGGTGAAACACGAAGCAAAGAACGCTTACTAAGGAATATTTGTGCAAAATCTGGTACCAATTGGTTCAGCAGTTACCCAGTCTAAATTATAACAGCATACAAACGTACATTCGTTTTTATTATATAAATAGTTAAAAGTACAATATGCAATGTAGGTATATCAAATTTAATGTATAAACGTAAACTATTCTACACATAATATATATGATATTATAAGGTAGTTAAAAGAATGACAGGAAAGAAATTAATACTTATTACACAATTCAAGTAATTATAATATGATTGTTCTTTTTGTTTAACCTCCATTAATAAGTTAACCTGGTAATTTGATCATGCCAAACCACAAAATAATTTTTAATTTATACATTATAATATATTTTTTCCGAGCCAATATTTCTCTATAATAAATGAATTTTTTTCTTTTTTTTTAAAAAAAATGTTAGTCTTAATAACTGGACCATTGACTTATTGTATTACATACTTAAATTACTTAAACTAAATTGTACAATTTAATATCTTTCATAAATAATAAACATTTTTTAATGGTATTTTTGTCTGTGCCCAATGCGTCGCGAATGTAGTCGGGTATGTCGAATTTTTGTTCGGCCACTTGATAAATGCTTTAAAAGTTACTCTACTCGTTTATTTTGAAATTTACTATTAGAATAAATAAAAAAAATACTTAAAAGAAACATAAAAGTAGTATTCCATTCCTATATATCATTATTGATTTACATACCTAGTAACATATTCGAAAATAATACGGAAAACGGACGTGGATGTACATTTAAGTCTTTAACTTATAAGTTATAAGCTATAAATATTTCGTTTAAATTCAGCTTAAAACCCAGGGAAATTAATCCAAACATTGTTGTAAACTTTACTCGACTATTCAAATACTAAATGCGGTATACGTTCAAATGTGTTTACGAAACTTGAAAAATAATGGTTATTGGCCTATGTTTTATAATAATAATATTCTCCTATTATTATCTTTATCCAACTAACTTGGAACTAACAATTACAAACTAACATATTATAATTATTATGGTGTAATGGTTTCAACTTTTAATAATACATACTTAATAAAGAACAAACACCAACTCCGTCGTGTATATAAAGTACATAATAATATAATAATTAGTACAATAATTAGTAGGTACCTATAAGTGAATAACTATTACGACAAATGAGCATTTGCTTATCAATTATCAACAGGTAACCCATAATTAGGGAAAACTTGTGAAAATTCCTGTAGAAACTTTTCAAATATAGTATATTATCATCATATTATAATATACATAATATATTCCGTTCCGTATTACGGAGGTGTAACAATATAATATGATAATATAATAGGTACCTAGGCAAAACATACCATTCATCCAAAGATTTATGTGACCGATTTTCTCCCAACAGAATAATAATATACAAAATTGTACTAAATCTGTATTTTCTTTGTATGTGAAAATATATTATATTTCATTCGGATAAAGGTTCAATATTATTATATTTTGAATACTTTTGGCCTTTATTCTTTTTAATATTTATTGAATATTTTTTATCTATTTTTCGCCTATATATCACAACAAGGCACGCGAGCTGCACGCTGCTCTTGAGTCAGTTTCGTGTGGCTCTAA